GAGGAGGAGGAATAATAATAATAATAGTATGAAGAACAAGCCTAATCTTAATCATGCTAATACGAGTGGGCATATTTCTGTTTGTACTAATAAGCATAATAAGAATACTAAGACGAGTCATCATACTATCAATCATATTATTGATACTACTACTAATACTATTAATGCTAATAGTACTATTGCCATTACTGATATTAGTAGCATGGATAATATGAATAATAATAAGAAATGCAATAAGTGGAGGAGGAGGAGAGGAGGAGGAAGAGGGGGAGGAGTCGGAGGCGGCGGAGGAGGAGTAGAAGGCGGAGGAGGAGGATTGCCCCTCTACCTTCTCCTCCCTTGTCTCCTCCCCCTCCTCTTGCTGGTCGGTGGGGAACTGACGGCAAGACTGGGCCGTAGCCGATGCAAGCACAGGAAGCAAGGACAATAAGTGAGGAAACAACAGCAACACAGAAGGGACAGGGGACGCGCTAGCCTGTTCCCGTCACGGCAGCCCCGTTGGACTGCTCGCCAATGGCAAAGGGCTCCCACGGTTCCCAAAAGCCACCGTGGGGGGGAGTGGGGGGAGGTCATACCCAGACTCTCCCCATGTGTTGGATCGCGTAGCACAAGGGATCATCATCACGATCGAGATTGAAGCATTTTCCCCTTCGTCGAAATATGGCGACGTGGCTCCCCGCGTGGCACGTGAGCCACCACCTGCTGTGATACTGGTGCAATTCTACCCCTGGGACGGTTTGCAACTCCACAATCAGCGGAATGGAGCGAGCACAATGTGGGAGATCCCAACTGCACGGCATCGAGGGCATGACGCACTGAGTGAGCAACTGCATGGCAGCCCTCATCTGTCGGTTCTCAGCGCGCAGGAGCTCGCGCCCCCTGGGGTGGACAGCAACTCTGCCCCAGATGGCCTCAGCAGGCCTGAGCAACCTCCCAGGAGAAGGGGAGACGCCCGAACGAGCCCAGAGATTAGAACCCCAGCATCCCACCCTCCCCATCTCCTTCTCCTGAGGCCCCTCCTCCGAGGACCCTCGAGGATCCCGAGGACTTTCCTCCTCCTCCTCCTCCTCCTCCTCCTCCTCCTCCTTCTCTTTCTCTTCATCCTCTTCCCCCCCTCTTCCCCCTTCCTGCCTCCTCCTCCTTCTCCTTTCTCCATCCTTCCTCTTTCCCTGCTCCGTGGCGACGCCGTCTACGCTGGCGACAGGTCGTCAACGACGACAACGACGAGGACGACGAGGACGACGACGACGACGAGGGCGACGACGACGACGACGACGACGACGAGGACGACGACGATGACGACGAGGACGACGACGACGAGGACGACGACGGACGACGACGATGGCGGTCGTGCTTCGGCCGCCGCAGGCGGGCGGGCATCCGGCGCTCCGCCGCGGAGGCGCTGGCCGCCGCCGCGGAGGACGAGCGCCCCTCGGGCGGGCCGCTCGGGCGGCGCTCGGCGGGCGGCCTTCGAGGCGGCGGCGTGGGCGTCGGCGTCGGCGTCGGCGTCGGCGTGGGCGTCGGCGTGGGTGTCGTGGGGGGGGGGGGGGGGGCGTGGGCGTCGGCCTGGGCGTGGGCTTGGGCGTCGGCGTGGGCGTGGGCTTGGGCGTATGGGGGGGGTGGGCGTGGGCTTGGGCGTCGTCGTGGGCGTCGGCGTGGGTGTCGTCGTGGGTGGGAGCAGGAGAGAGCCAGGTCTTAGGTCATGCTGCTCCGAGTCCAGCTCGTTTCGGGGTTCCTGCAGGCCTCCGAGGCGGCGGCGTGAGCGTCGTCGTTGCCGTCGGCGTCGGCGTCGTAGGGGGAGGACTGGACTCTGACCCTGCGGTGGAGGCATCAATGTTTCTTAGCAGCACTTGTCGGCCCCTGCGATAAGCTCAAACTGAGCGCCTTGACAACGCGTGTCTCAAGACCTACCTCGTCCGCGTAACCCCTCTGGGGCCGCACGGTGAGGGTCCAGCGAGGGAGGGGAGCTCCCACCTCACGGCTTCAAATCCTCGCAGTGGGCGCTGGGGTGCTGCCCACGTCTCTGAATGGGCGCAACCCCGCGTCTCCCCCCGTATACGATTCGATTGACTGTCCAGGCAGGCGGCCTTGCATGCGGGGGCGGTGGCGGCAATTGCACTTGCCGAGCGGGCGCGACGACACGGCGGCCCGACATGGGAGGTGTAAGGCGAGGGAAAGGGTTACGGGTATCCGCGAACACATGGACCACGCACATTAGGCACCTACAGCCCCTCCCCTCCTGGGGAAAGAGGGACTGGACAATCAAACGACACCTGGTTCCATCTTCAGCTGCACGACGTAGCCCCGTTACGGGCGCCGCGCGCTAGCTGATCTGCTCGCTCCCCCCGGTCCCCGCTCCCCCCATACTCCAGTGCAGTGCTGTGCGGCAAGGCGACACGGGCAACGCAGGCTGGCTTCCCTGGGGCTGGAGACAGGCTCTTGTCAGGGGCGGCGGCGCGGGAGCGCGAAGACGACTACGCTTCGCGCTCGACGCTTCGCGCGGCACAAGCTGTGTGGCTTACGGTCGGAAACTTTTGGATGGCGTGTCGCTCTGCTGGTTCTGGCCCACCGCGCTTCGGCGCGACACGCGATCCACGTCCTCATTCCCAAGCGTCAACGTCCGGAGCTGTTCCCAGCCTCTCACCCTGCAGAGCGGAGCGACACGCAATTCGCTTGCAAGGCACAGCGTGTCGGTGAGGCCGCCGCCGCGACACGCTGTGAAACGAACGAGAGAGAGATGCTTGTTTGAAGATGAGCAGACAGGTGAACGTTGTGCGAGCCTCAGTGATCTTCTCAACCTCTGCATCTGTTTCAACAACATCTGCTCACTCGTCGGCGATGAATCCGCGATGGCGAGTTCATGTGTCGACGAGGAAAAGAAGGCGGCATGAACACAAGCACTCGGAGTGTGTGTGATTCCAGAGCCCCTGTGCGGGGAGTTCGGGGACGTGGACCGCTGCGGGCTCCGTGTCGGCGGCGGGCCGGCCCGCCCTGAAAACTTGCCTCGGGGTGCGACAGGGGGGAGTTATCTGTAAGGAGAAGGGATGGGAGGAGGAGGAGGAGGAGGAGGAGGAGGAGGAGGAGGAGGAGGAGGAGGAGGAGGAGGAGGAGGACGGAGGAGGAGGAGGCGGAGGAGGAGGGGGAGGAGGAGGAGGAGGAGGCGGGAAGAGGAGGAGGAGGAGGAGGAGGAGGAGGAGGAGGAGGAGGAGGAGGAGGAGGAGGAGGAGGAGGAGGAGGAGGAGGAGGAGGAGGAGGAGGAGGAGAGGAGGAGGAGGAGGGGGAGGAGGAGACGAGGGGGAGGAGGAGGTCCCGCGTCGGGTCTCGGCCCCTTCTCCCCGGGGGCCAGTTTTATCCTCCCGCGTGGCTCGCTTCTCGGTGGGCCCCGGAGCCAGCGGCGCCCACCAGGGGGGTGGTGCGCGAGTGGGCTGGGCTGCTGAGGAGGCACAGGGGGGGGGGGGCTTCTCAGCAGCCAGAGGGGGCTTCTTGGAGGCCCGCCCGGCTTCTAAGGAGCCTCCTAGGAGGACCCCCTGGGAGGAGGAGGAGGAGGAGGAGGAGGAGGAGGAGGAGGAGGAGGAGGAGGAGGAGGAGGAGGAGGAGGAGGAGGAGGAGGAGGAGGAGGAGGAGGAGGAGGAGGATGCCCTGGCCTTCCAAGAAGGCCCCGGCCTTCCGAGGAGCCCCTCTGCTCTCTTAAAGGAGGCGGCGCCCCTCGCGCCACCCCCGTTGTGTGCGCCGCCAGGGGGGCCCTGCCCAAAATGCAGGACTTGCCTTAAGTCGGGCCTGTCCCTCTGCAGAGGGAATATTCAAAAGTAGTCACGTATTTTGAAATATTTGATCATTTTTTGGGTCGATTTTTGGGAACGCTTTTTTGACCATTGTTGTATTTTTTGGGGGTATGTTTGGGGTATTTCCCTACCTAGGCTCTGCCTCGAAGGGTGCTTACCCTGTACGCTTAAAGGGCCGGGCAGTGCTCCCCGCCCCGGGCGGTTCCCCCAGGATCCGCCCCGTGGTTCTCCCAGTTGCGCCCCCTTACCTTAGCTTTGCGTATCTCATCTTAGCTTAGCTTAGCTTTAGCTTAGCTTTAGCTTAGCTTTAGCTTAGCTTTAGCTTACCTTTAGCTTAGCTTGAACTTATAGTTACCTTAGCTTTACCTTAGCTTTAGCTTAGCTTTAGCTTAGTTTTAGCTTAACTTTGGCTTAGCTTTAGCTTAGCTTTAGCTTAGCTTCAGCTTAGCTTTAGCTTAGCTTTAGCTTAGCCTTAGCTTAGCTTTAGCTTAGCTCTAGCTTTAGCTTAGCTTTAGCTTAGCTTTAGCTTAGCTTTACCGTTACTACTAATGCTGCTTTCCTTGGGGCTCCAACTCCTAGGTAGGGTCGCACTGGGATCATTTGAACTTCTCTCCCAAAATCCGCAGGTAGGAGGACACGCCCGATTTAAGACTTGCCTCGGGCGCGATTGGTGAGAGTCGCCACCGGTCTGGGGTGACAGCGCTGTGCCTCGTGTGTCCAGTGTCTTCACCTGGGGATCAGCTGAGGGGATGCCACCATCCCTTGAGACGGCGAGGAGGATGGCGAGAGAGGGGGAGAGAGAGAGAGAGAGAGAGAGAGAGAGAGAGAGAGAAAAAGAAAGAAAGAAAGAGCAAGAGAGAGAAAGAGAGAGAGGAAGGAGGGAGGAGGTAGGCAGGAGGCATGACGTGGAGGGGGAGGAGAGGTGGTGGAGGATGGAGGGATGAATGGATGCAGGAGGGAGCAGAGGAACTACGGACATATCTCCCAGCGATTGCACATATTGGGAAGGATGAGGGGCATTTCTTGGAGGTCTCTTTGGGCTGAGGCGGTTTCTGGGGTTCTGGGGGGGGGGGCGGGCGTCCTCTTTTCTCCCTCCTCCCTTATGCTCCCATCCTTCTCCTCTCCTCTCTTCTCCAGCTTCCTCCCTCCTCTACCCCTCCTCTGTCGCTCCATCCTGTCTCCCCCCTCCTTGCAATCACCACCGATCGAACACATGCCAGGCTCGATCACGTGACAGGGCGAGAAGGCTGCCCCTTGTTGGTTTCACGCGCGCCTCGCAAGTGCAGCACAGCAACATGACCCGGACGGACTTCGAGGCTAAGATGGGTGCCGACCTCGAGGGCACCAAGGATGTCGTGAAGGAGTACTATTCGAAGCATTTGAAGGCATCGCAGGACCTGCAGACCAACGCCTGCTGCACCATCGCCACCCCTCCCGAGCACATCAAGAAGGCGATGGCGAAGGTCCACGACAAGGTCCACGAGAAGTACTACGGCTGCGGGCTGTGCCTTCCCGACGACCTGGAGGGCCTTTCGATCCTGGACCTGGGCTGCGGTGCTGGCCGCGACGTTTACATCAGGGCGACGAGCTCTATAGATGATCCAGGGCTGCCCTTTTTACCTCCCCCCCAATGCACATGGGATCGAGCCCCCCCCCCCTCCCCCCGGAGGAGGAGGAGGAGGAAGGAGGAGGAGGAGGAGGAGGAGGAGGAGGAGGAGGAGGAGGAGGAGGAGGAGGAGGAGGAGGAGGAGGAGGAGGAGGAGGAGGAGGAGGGGAGGAGGAGGAGGAGGAGGAGGAGGAGGAGGAGGAGGAGGAGGAGGAGGAGGAGGAGGAGGAGGAGGAGGAGGAGGAGGAGGAGGAGGAGGAGGAGGAGGAGGAGGAGGACGAGGACGAGGACGAGGAGGAGGGCGGAGGGGAGGAGGGCGGAGGAGGAGGAGGAGGAGGAGGCGGAGGAGGAGAAGGAGGAGGAGGAGGAGGGGGGAGGAGGACGAAAGAGGAGGAGGAGGAGGAGGAGGAGGAGGAGGAGGAGGAGAAGGAGGAGGGCGGAGGAGGAGGAGGCGGAGGAGGGCGGAGGCGGAGGGCGGAGGAGGAAGAGGAGGGCGGAGGAGGAGGAGGAGGACGGAGGAGGCGGAGGAGGACGAAGGAGGAGGAGGAGGAGGAGGAGGAGGAGGAGGAGGAGGAGGAGGAGGAGGAGGAGGAGGAGGAGGAGGAGGAGGAGGAGGAGGGGGGGCCCCCTCTGGGTGGGCACGGCCGTGAGCCTCGCGAGAGCCTCGCGGATGGGATCGTTGGCCCCTTCCCTCTTGTGGTCGTGGCCCTGTGGGCGTGGCGTGGTGAAGGGTGCCAGCGCCCCGCCATCCACCTGTGTGGGTGTGGTGTGGTTCGTCGTCGTCGCCGTCTCCGTCGTTGTCGTCGTCGTCGTCGTCGGCGGCGGCTGCGTCGTCGGCGTCGGCGTCGTCGTCGTCGTCGGCGTCGGCCTCGGTGTCGGCGTCGGCGTCGGCGTCGTTGTTCCCCCCCATCCCATCTGGGGGAGGGGGAGTGGCTTGTGGAACCCTGGGGCCCATCCCATCTGGGAGGTGGGTGGCGTGCGAACCCTCGATACGGAGTCATAGATGTATCTGTATATGTATGTGTATATATATACACATATATGTATAGATCCACCTCCGCTGGCCAGGCGCAGTCTGGGCTGGCCCAGGAGCAGTGTATATGCTGCTAGCCAGCGGGGCGCGCACACCGCTCTGGGTCCTCTGGGAAGCCTGGCCGGCGGCGGTGCAGGTGTGCAGATCTCGTCGCCCTGTGCATCGCGTCGCAGCTCGTCGGGCCCACCGGCCGCGTGGTCGGGGTCGACATGACCCAGGAGCAGCTCGATGTCGCCGTCGAGTACAAGGGCTGGCACGCAGAGCAGTTCGGCTACAGCAACGTGGAGTTCAAGCTCGGCTACATCGAGCGGCTGAACGAGCTGGATCTCGGGAGCGCGACGTTCGACGTCATCGTGAGCAATTGCGTGATCAACCTGAGCCCTGACAAAGAGGCGGTCCTGCGTGAAGCTTACCGGCTGCTTAAGCCAGGCGGGGAGCTTTACTTCAGCGACGTGTATGCTGATAGGCGGATGCCTCAGGCACTTAAAGAGGACGAGGTGTTGTGGGGCGAGTGCGTATCTGGTGCATTGTATTGGAACGATTTCCACAATCTTGCCAAAAAGTGTGGGTTTGCAGACCCCCGTTTGATGAAGGATAACCGCCTTACAATCAACAACCAAAAGCTGGAGGCAAAGCTGGGATGCATCAAGGTCTACTCTGCTACTTACAGGCTGTGGAAGCTTGATGGGCTGGAGAGCCACTGTGAGGATTATGGACAAGCGGTGATTTACAAGGGCACGATCCCTCACTGTCCAGACGTATTTGCGCTGGATGGCCACCACGCCATTGAGAAAGGAAAAGTGTTCCCAGTATGCGGGAACACATGGAGGATGCTTGCAGACACTCGGTTCAAGCGGCACTTCGAGTTCATTGGGAATTTCGACACTCATTATGGTATCCAACTGCCTGCGGTAAGTCTCGCCGCCGTGCCAGCTCAGCATTTTGGGTGGCGACGGTTCGAAGGCCGCGCAGGGGGCTGTAACGCATGACGTCTCGTGTCCCCAGGTGTGCGAGAGCTTTAACACGTGACACGCTCTTCAGCGTCGTGTCGGTGTGTCTCTCCTCGTCCTCTGCGTCGGCCTCGTGCAGTCCTAGTGCTCCAATCGCACGTTCATCCAAAGCATTTTCGCCATTTCTCATCCTTCCTCCTTCCCCATCCTCTGTGCGGCAACGGGTGGAGTAACGCCCAGCAGGCCGCAACTCGTGACACATCTGCCGTCTTTGGGCTGTTTTCGAGTGTTGAGAGGCCGTCATGTTGCGCAGTAGGAGGATGAGTAAACTGACGCTGCTGCTGATGATAATGACGACGATGACGATGATGATGACGATGATGCTGGTAATGAATAGGACGGTGATGATGATGCTGATGCTGATGCTGATGATGCTGCTGATGATGACGATGATGATGATGATGATGATGATGATGATGATGATGATGATGATGATGATGAGTATGATGATAATGCTGAGGTGGTGATGATACTGCTGCTGATGATGATGAGGAGGAATATGAATATGATGCTGATGCTGATGATGCTGATGATGATGCTGCTGCTCGTGATGATGATGATGACGACGGCGGCGGCTGCGACGATGGTGATGATAATGATGATGATGATGATGATGATGATGATGATGATGATGATGATGATGATGATGATTATGATGATGATGATGACGACGTTGATGACGATGACGACGGCGCTGCTGTTGTCGCTGATGATGACAATGATGGCGATGGTGATGATGATGTTGATGATAATGGTGTCGATGATGATGATGCTGATGATGATGATGACGATGATGATGAGGATGAGGATGACGACGACGATGACGATGATGAGGATGATGATGATACTAATGATGATGACGCTGGTGATGATGATGCTGGTGATGACGATGCTGATGATGATGAGGATTTTGATTATGATGATGCTGCTGCTGCTGATGATGATGATGATGGTGGTGGTATTGGTGATGGTAGTGATGGTGGTGATGAGGATGATGCTGATGATGCCGATGATGCTGCTGCTGATGATGATGTTGATGATGATGATTAGTATGTTGTTGTTGGTAGTGGTGCTGATGATGATGGGGAAGAGGAGGAATATGATGATGAACTTAATCATGTAACACGTGCCACTTGTAATCCAAGCCCACCCCTGAATACCGCAGGTGGTTATTGCCCGAGCCAGCGGTGCACTCTGTGTGACGACGGCTTGAGCAACACCTAGAAGACCAGAACATGTGAAGCCTTTCGCCTCTATCTCTTCAGGGGCTCTCATGGGGCTGGCGCCGTCTCGGGAGCCTCTTGGATCTCTCACAGGCCGTCTTGATGCCCTCTTGGCTGTTTTGGGCTCCTCATGGCCCCTCTTGGGGCATTTTTGATTTGAAAGCATTCGATGGCCAAGCGGCATTCGTGAGGGTTTTTGAACAATTCTGGCCCTCCCGGGAGGGCCTCTTGGCCTTCTCGCTGGTGTCTTGGACTCCCTCGTGAGGCCTCGTGAAGCCTCGCCTTCGGCTGTCGAGTGGCTCTCTTATGGCCCCGCTGGCCGGCTCCCGCTGGGCCCCTCCCGAGCCGCCCCCGAAGGCCAGGAGAGCGCCCGCGGGCTCCACCGGGGAGGAGGCGGGCCGCCGAGAGGCAGCCATCGGGGAGCCCCTCGGGAGGGGGCGGGGCAGGCAGCACTTCGCGGGAAGGGGGGGGGGGCCCTGCGAGGACACACAGTCAGGGCTCATTTCGATTCCTCCGATTCGATGCGATTCGATTTTGGTGACTTCCGATTCCGATTCGATTCGACATGGGATTCCGATTTCGGCTCCGATTTCTCAATGGAGGCCTACTAGGCTGCCGATTTCCGCCGATTCGACTTTTCCCGACTCGGCTGCCGATTTCCGCCGATCCGATGCATTTCGATCGCCGATTCCATTTGTCGATTCTGGGGGCGCCTGCACAGTGGGGGCCCATGCCAAGGAGCACCCTGCGTGCCTCCAGGGTGCCCTGGGTTTCTCGGGCCTCGATGGCTTCGCCATGGGAAGAGAGCGTGGCGTCCCCCTGCCAAGAATCGACGGACATCCTGGGGTCTCAGGGTCGGGTTTCTTGTGGACTAGCCTGCCCTGTGCAGGGCACTAGGAGACAGCACCGGGCCTTCTGCCACACGCCTCCACGTGCCAGGGGGGCACGCCGGCGGGTCTACGACGGCTGCGGCACGCTGATCCCCTTCGAGAGCGCCAGGGCCGAGAAGGGAGGCGGGGGCAGTGCGTGCTGCTAAGATGTTGTGCTCTCTTTCCGCGCGGCCGCCCCGCGTCGGGATGCGGTCCCAGCTCTGCTGGTAGGACCGTTTTGGGGTGCGCACAGCCAGCCCGCTCAGGTAGTCCCAGCTGGCCTCGACAGGCCCCCTGGGTAGTCGCAGCCGGCCTCCACAGCCGCCCCGAGTAGTCCAGGGCAGTTTCACAACCCAGGCGCAGCCTCTGGCGGTGCCCTTGGGGCGTTCCGCGCCCCAGGGCTTGGGGTGTTGAGACCGCTCCGGACTACTCGGGGGCTTTGTCAAGGCCAGCTGGGACTATTCGGAAGGCCTGCTGAGGCCAGCCGGGACTACCCCGCGGGGCTGTTTGTGCGCAACCCGGAGCCTTTCAAGCAATGCCGCAGCTTCTCGCTGGGGAGCCTGCGCTGTGGGGGCGCCGCCTGGCAAAGACAGAAGCAGGCCCGTGCCCTCGCCGCATTTTTCGGGTACGGCGCGGCCGATGCCACACGACAGATCCGCCGCGGGAGACCGCGGAGCAAAAACCGCCGGGTGCCACCGCCACTCCTCGACCATGCAGGTCACCTCCGGGGGCGCGACGAGAATCGCGCTTCTCAGGAGGGAAAGAAACACACAGACACAATTAATCGGCGATTCCCAGAAAATATGGGAAAATATGGGAAGTGGGGGGGAAGACAAAAACTTAGAAAACATGGGAAGCCATGGGGGATATTTTTATTTGTGTGTATTTATTTGTGTGTCCCAGTTCCCCTTCAGCTGCGCATCGCGGCTTGGGTTGGAGATGCGCCCTTCTCCAGGGCGGCGGCGCGAGGGCGGGAAGATGATCGCGCGTGGCGGATCGCCGGGCGCGACGGGCGAACCTGGGCGACCTACGTAGGACCACCGGCGACGCCGCACTTCTTCGGCGTGCTCCTCGGGCCCACGGGCTCTCGGCCCCGTCCCCAGGACCGGCCCTCGTCGCCGCGGGCCCCGCGCCCCGTGCACAAGCTCCCTGAGCTCCCCCGCTTCTGGCTGCGCCTGCGAGTGGCCCCTCGCCCGAGCGACTGTCGGTGCGCGGCTTTTTGGGGGGGTGCGGGGAGGCCGGGCCCCCGCGCGCAGGCCGCCACCGTCGCAGCTCGTGCGGCGATTGGCAGGCCGCGCGCCCAGGGCCACTCTTCGCCCGTGCCCGCTCCTTGCGTGGAGCGGACCTTTGGGGGTCTCGGGGGTGCCCCTTGGTGCCCACGTCCCGGGCGCTGCGCTCGAACAGCGGGACGGAACGTCGGAGGCCTAGAGGCTTGCGGTGTGCCTCCACCGAGGGGAAGTCATCCCGGTCTCGGTGACGGTGGTGATACCCGGGCCTCCCAGGGGGCCGCACGGTCACCGCCGACAGCAACATCCAGGATCGCCCTCCCCTGGTGGAGGCCCCCCCTGGTGTTGGTGCTGACGTCCACCTGCAAGCCTCCAAGGATGGACCCCACCTCCGCGGGAGGGGCCTGGCTGGGTAGTCGAAGGCCAGACTGTCAGATTGGATTGGGCCCCAAGGGCCAATCTGGCCTGGCCAAACTGGAGGATTTGGGTCATTCGCCAGACTGGATTCGCGTGGGCTCCCTCGCCAGATTGCCCCCGTTTGCCAGATTTCAGGAGGGAAAGAAACACACAGACAGAATTAATCGTCGATTCCCATGCAAATATTGGAAAATATGGGATTTGGGTGGGAAGACAAAAACCCAGGAAATATGGGAAAATATGGGGAATCTTTTTATTTGTGTGTATTTATTTGTGTGTCCCAGGGCCCCTTCAAGATTGGGCCTGCCAGATTGGCGCCAGATTGGCTTCGACTACCCAGCCTGGGGGCCCCTGCGGGCTCGGGCTCGGGCCGGGGGGCGAGGGGGGCAGCCCTCCGAGAGGGCACAGTCCCCGCTCGGCGGGGCCTCGCCACCGGCCCCCCCGCAGGAGGAGGCGGCCGCCTGGCCCACATATGGGCTCTCGGCGCTCGCCCTGGGGCGCGAGGCCTCTCGGGCCCCTCCTTTGCCGAACGAGCAACACGCACCCATACCCATAGGGGGGTCGTTGGGAGGAGGACTGGCTATGGGTATGGGTGCGGGTTGTCGGACCCTGGGGAACGCTCCCGTTCGAGCGGGGACCCCCATCCGACAACACGCACCCATAGCCCTCTCCGACCCCTCTATGGGTATGGGTGTGTGTTGTTGGCTCGTCATCCTTCTCGGGCCCCAGGAGGCGGTGGTCGATGCAAACGGGGGTCAGTCGGGGCGCCGGATCTTGCAGGATGCTGCAGGGCCAGGGGTCCATGGGCCCAGGTTGGCGTGCAGGATCCTGCAGGATCCTGCGAGGCCGGACTGACCCAGGTCTGGCTGAACCCGGGTGAGAGGGTCCCAGACCTTCGTGGAGCGGCTGCGCACACGAGCGGCCTTTCGCTGGAGTGCCCTTTTGGTGCGGGCCCACCAGTGTCCCCCGATCTTCGAGCGCGGTGCGATGGCAGCGGCCTGCGCGCCTGAGCTTGGCCCCCCCGTGTCTCCCCGAGTGCCGCGCACCCAAGATTACCCTTGCCTCATTAGGGTCACTCTTGCGTGTAGCTGAGGGGACAGCCGATCCGAGCCGATCTAGGAAGGCAGCCCTCTGAGAAGGTTCCGAGGATTGGCTCCGATCCCTTGTGAGAAGCCCTTCGTGTGGCCTCTCGCAAGGCCACCGCTGTCATACAGTGTGAGCCAGCGTGGACCCCAAACAGGGTTGTCTTGCAGTCTATGCAGTGCAGTCCGGGTGGTGCAGTCAGTGTGGTAGAATCTCGGTGGTGCAATCCATGTGGTGCAATCCATGTGGTG